ATGGATGGATGGATAGATGAATGATGGATGGATGGATGGATGGATGGATGGATGGACGGACGGATGGACAGATAAATAGGTTGATGGATACATCCATGCATGCATGATGCCTCTGGTGCGAAATGTGTCATCAGACAACATTTTCCTGTCAAATAATTTACGTTATTGCTGAACTATAACGAATGATAGCAAAATTAGCGTGTTCTGACGAGTTGTAATAAACCTGAATGTTGTACAGTAAAAAATCTCTCCAGGACAGGTGAGCAAATAATGACGAATGCATCGCAATTCGGAATGACCTCAAATGTAGTAAATAACTTAATTCCAACGTAAAAAAACACGGAATGCAACTATAAACACGTGCGTACGTGCATATGTTCAGTCGTGCGTGCGTGCATGTGAGCAGGCGCGTATACCGTGCAATGTTTGGTGCTAATGTGTCCGTGGGTCATGTGTCGCGAGGCATGTGTTGCAGGCGTGGTGTGCGTCATCTGTGGCGGCGTGTGTGCGTGCATGGCGTGCAGGCGTGCGTGCGTGCATGTGTGCAGGGCGTGCGTGCGTGCATGTGTGCAGGCGTGTGTGCGTACGTGCATATGTTCAGTCGTGCGTGCGTGCATGGGAGCAGGCGCGTATGCGTGCATGTGTGCAGGCGTGTGTGCGTGCATCTGTGCAGGCGTGTGTGCGTGCATGCGTGCAGGCGTGCGTGCGTGCATGTGTGCAGGCGTGTGTGCGTGCGTGCATGCGTGCAGGCGTGCGTGCATGCATGTGTACAGGCGCGTGTGCGTGCATGCGTGCAGGCTTGTGTGCGTGCATGTGTGCAGGTGTGCGTGCGCATTTGCGTGCGTGAGCCCGTGTGTGCGCCTGCATGCATGCCTGTGTTGTAATTATCGGCAAAAGAGCTGCATCCGTCATTTAGTGGTGAATGTTATGACTAATACAAAACCAAAGAAAGAAGAATTAGAAAATCGCTCGCGCGCGAGCTAAATTATCGCGTGAGAAAATGCGTCATGAATATATTTGCTCGGCTTCACAGATTATCTGATTAGCTACCGCGTTGCTGTATATTCTGCGATCGCAGCGCTCCGCCCAGTCATGCGCCGATCGTTAGAGGGGGCGGCAGTCGGCTGCTGCTGTCGCCTGCCTAGGTACAAGAGCCGAATAATCATTTACTATCAGCCACCGTACTATGTTAAAAATTCCCATAAAAAGTACAGCTAATTCAAGCGAGTTTGTTTGCGAAATTTTGAGAAATTTCAAGGCCGCTCGCTGACTTTCTATTGCAAAGCACAACACATGTTTTATTAACTCGTATATTCTTCCATAATGTTTCGTATAAAAAAAAACATTTTCGCGAAATACGAAAAACGGGCAATTTCCAACGTGCTGTCATGCGGAAAGTCCGCTTCGCTTATGCCTTTTTATGCCGCCGGACGAATACTCAGGGAACGAGCCAACCGTTCTGTCGAATAGAGCGAGAAGTCTAGCTTGCGATAATAGCTGTAAATTTCGTGCAGACTGTTTCGTTTGAAATGTAAAAGGGTAACACGTCTGCACACACACGCCGAAGATTTACTTCACCGCACGCAAAGCTAATTGGTGGATTACGAAGTGCGGTACCCTAGAGCCCCACGTAAATCCTTTCATTTTGTACGTAAATAGTGTGTAACCATCAGCAGCGGGCCACCGAGGGGGCGAGCAGGTAACAGTGTAGCATTATTAAGCATTCATTAATAAATACTTAATTACGTAACTCCTTAATAGGCTACGACACGCAGGACACTCTCATTAGCTTCACTTCCTACTGCATATAGTATATGTGATACTCTTCGTTGCTTCATTTCCTATTGCCTATAGTATTGGTGATACTTGTTGTCGCCTCATTTCCTACTGCCTATAGTATTGCTAATACTTTTCCTAACTTCATTTCCTACTTTCTTTAATATTGGTGTATATTCATATTAAACTTCTTACAGGTTAGACCTAACCGCAGGTGAAGGCAGAAGCATTTAGTATTATAATTATGCGAACATTCCTACAGTTGATCAATGATCCATGCCAGTGAACATCCACGCCTTTATGGACGAACACCATCGGAACAAGGCGAGACACAGAAACAATGGAGATTGGCGGTTGACAATTCTTGCAATTTGCTATCTGAGATCTCCAGCTGGATAAGCGCATTCGTGCATACCCTGTGTCAGTGTATATGTGGGTCACTCGGGTAGACTTCGGCTTCCAGCAAAGGTAATTCGCATACAGTTGTGTGTGTTCACAAATGCAAATTACAAATGGCGGCGACCTTCGCGTGAGCTCTGTAACGTTTGTCGGTAATGACACAATCACGCGTGTGCAGCTATACCGACAATTTAATATCATCTCTATTCTCCAGTTAATTAAACACGCGCTAATCTCTTCTCTCGCTATCCGTCTCTATCCCCCTCCCCATCTCTCTCTCTCTCTCTCTCTCTCTCTCTCTCTCTCTCTCTCTCTCTCTCTCTCT